CACTGGGGATCGAGCCCACAACCTGGGCATGTGCCCCTGACTGGGATTGAACCCAGGACCCCTCCGTCCTCAGGTCAACGCTCTGTCCATAGAGCCAAACCAGCCAGGGCTCATCTCTCTCTTTTTTTAAAAAAAATATTCTTATTGATTTCAGAGAGGAAGAAAGAGGGACAGAGGTAGAAACATCAATGATGAGAGAGAATCATCATCAACTGCCTCCTGCACGCCCCACACTGGGGATCGAGCCCGGAACCCGGACATGTGTCCTGATTGGGAGTCGACCCGTGACCTCCTGGTTCATAGGTCGACGCTCAATCACTGAGCCATGCTGGCTGGGTTCTCTTTAGTTTGTCACTGGTGGACCATTTGTTTTCCATCTTCTCAATTTTGTTTCTGTCGCTCATCTGTAGTTCCCTCTTGTTGTCCTTTTAGGGTTTGTACATTTTTAGTCCTTTTTGCCATTTGGTGGGAGTGAAAGTAACACATACTTGACCTGCCCTGTTTGGTTAAACTGGGGGAAGCTGTTTAATCTTTGTGAACTTGCATTAATTGAACTATAAAACACCAACTTGCAGGTGATTTGAAGGTGCTATATGCCTACCAGATACAGTGCAACCTCAATTCTCGAACTAAATTTGTTCCGGAAGGCTATTCAAGAAGCAATTTGTTAAAATAAAAAAAAAAGGAAAGAAAGAAAAACAAAGAAGCAATTTGTTTGAAAACCAAACCATTTTTTCCCCATTAGAAATAATGCAAACGGAATAAATTCATTCCAGATCCCCAAATAACTCCCTGTTAATCTTTCTTATATACGGTACAGGTCTAATGTACTGTTTAATCTATAATCACACATTCTTTTCTTAAACTTACTGAACCACCTCCTCCTAGCCTTAACCAACTCACTTTCTTCGCTTTTTCCCATATTGCTGCCTCCAAAATGCTGTCCCCAGCGAACTGCTTTTCATTTATCTAAATCAACAAGTTTTTCTACCTCTTCAGTCGCCTGTGATCATTGTTTTTTTCACACCCTTAGCAACATTAGCACTCTTTAAAATTATTTATTAAATTTACTGGAGTGACATTGGTGAACATGAACATATACGTTTCAGGTGTAGGTTTCTATGTTATAAGATCTGTATGTTGCACCATGTGCCCACCACCCAAAGTCAAATCTTCTCTGTCACCTTATATTGGGACCCTCTTGTTTCCCCACCCCCTTCCCTCTGGCAACCACCACACTGCTGTTTGTGTTCAGTTTTATGTTCCACATACGAGTGAAATCATACGGTTTTAGCTGTTTCTGACTGACTTCTTTCACTTAGCATAATGTTCTCAAGGTCCATCCATGTTGTTGCAAATGGCACTATTTCATCCTTCCTTATGGCTGAGTAGTATTCCAATATGTATATGTACGACATCTTCTTTATCCAGTCCTCTATCCAAGGTCACTTTGGTTGCTTCCATGTCTTGGTCACAGTGAATAATGCGACATTAGCACTCTTGATGGCCTCTTTAAAATTGTGCGAATCATCCATTTTGCCAACAAAAGCAACAAAACAACACACACACACACACACACACACACACACACACACACACACGAAAATAGTCACAGCTCGATTTCCTGAGATGTTAACAAGGTGAGGTTTAACTGTAAACTGACTCATACTGGGGCATTCTCTCCGTTGTTTGTGGCCTTTGTTTTGTCATGCTGGTGTATCAGCATGAAAGAGTTGTCGGGTCCACAACCCAGACATTTTTTTTTTCCGTGAAAAACTTGGTAGAGAACCGAAATGTTCGAGATGGGGGGCATTGGAGAGTGAGGTTTGACTGTATTTGGTAAACAGTGGCGGCTAATGTTATTCCAGTCATAGCATTTATTATTTGAGAAAACACTTGACAATAGCAATAGGTAGGGAAGTGGACATGTTTCTTGTGTTGGCAAATGAAGGGGGTAAGAGAGATTTTTGGAAATGGGGGAAATAATTAGTTTGGTTTTAGTTATGTTGAATTTGAACTGCCAGCAGGGTACCAGATGAATCTATAATAATAAAAGGGTAACATGTTAATTAGACCAGATGTCTTCCGGATGTCATTCCAGACATCCTTCCTGACAAAGCCAGGGCCAGAAGGAAGCCAGCCCGGTCCCGGGTGCTGGAGAGTGGCCGGAGGAGGGAAGTGTGGGTCCTGGGTGCCAGAGGGAAGCCGGTGCTGGCAGCTGGGGGAAGGAAGACCTACTCTTGCATGAATTTTCATGCATTGGGCCTCTAGTATATTATAAAAGGGGTTGGAATTCTTGTCTGGCCCCGGCAGGGTGGGAGGGTGGAGGTGGACTTTAGTTTCGAAATCACTGGGTTTTATATCCCAGGAAGATACGGTTTGGGAAGAGGTAACAGCTTCAACCTTGCCATATACTAATGTTAAGAGCTTGTTAGAAAAGGGAGCCACTTAGGTTTCTGAAAGCTAAGGGGGTGGTGAAAGCCAGAGAAGGTGGAAACTGTTGTCAGGGGTAGTTTTATGGACCATTAAGTCGGAAGCATTTTCAAGGTCATTGCTAGGCTGTGGCTGAGTCCTGGCTAAGACTGGAAGGTCTTCCGTCTCCAGCTAGAGGTGTGTTACTTTGCAAGGTTCTTTCCCAATTGAGCCTCCATTGCCTTATTTGTTTAAAAAATGCTTATTTAGGGTCTTAGGATGTGGTTGTTGGCAATGAATTTTATGGTGGGGTCTTAAATTCAATGATACTAGTAAGAGTTAAATTAAAACAAGCCAAAAACAATAAATTTCTTCATTTTCACTAAACAGGCAAATTGAAATACATGGTACAAAAAAGGTAAGATTATTGTAAAATGAAATGGACAGAATAAATATTCGATTTAATTTTCCACCTATGATAATTTCACAATAAAAATCATAGTTTGCTTTGTAAAAAACAAACAAAAAATGCCTGAGTACCCTTTTAAGATTTTATGTCATGACACATGGCTACAAGTGAGAGAATTCACTACTAGGTGGGCCTCAGGTGGGGACGCTGGGTCCTATCTTCCCTACCTATTGCTATTAGCCATGAGGGTCGTTTCTAGAAGCATACACTGTGAAGCCCTAAGAGAAGCACTTTTCTCTTTATTCGCTTTAGGAGTGCATATGCCATAGGCCAGTGATGGCGAACCTGTGTCACCTCTGACACGCGAACTCATTTTTTTGGTTGATTTTTCTTTGTTAAATGGCATTTAAATATATAAAATAAATATCAAAAATATAAGTCTTTGTTTACTATGGTTGCAAATATCAAAAAATTTCTATATGTGACACGGCACCAGAGCTAAGTTAGGGTTTTGCAAAATGCTGATATGCCGATCTCAAAAGGTTCGCCATCACTGCCATAGGCCGTTTATCTAAGGACTGAGGAAAAGCCTTGGGACTGGCCATTGGGAGTTGTCTGGGGACTTCTGCATATATAGGGGTCGGGGGATGAAGTTGGGAGCCTGTGTGTAGTGAGCAGAGTGGAGGGTGATCAGGACTAGTCGTGAAATGGGTAGTGATGGCACAGTAAGGTTAGGCGTGGAAAGGTTTTTGTAAGCAAAGTCATTTGCATTACCTTGGTGGGGACAAACAGGCATCATTGATGGAGAAGTAGGATGAAGTGAACTTTCTGGAAAGCTACCTGCAGCACTCTTACATTCTTCTCATTGTCTTTTTTAAAAAATATATTTTTATTGATTTCAGAGAGGAAGGGAGAGGAAAAGAGAGAGAAACATCAGTGATGAGAGAGAATCACTGATTGGCTGCCTCCTGCACGCCCCGCACCAGGAATTGGGCCTACAACCTGGGCATGTGCCAATTGGGAATGGAATGGTGACCTCCTGGTTCATAGGTCGATGCTCAACCTCTGAGCAACACCTTCTCATTTTGACCTGGTGACAGCTTCACTGCAGACTGGGGGCCTTTAATCTAGCAGAGTCCTATGTGCCAGACATAAAGCTGTCCTCTTGAAATATATCTGCTTGGGAAATTTCCACTTCCCTTACTTAATTTCTCTAACAGCCAAGAAGTTCCACTTTGCTGTGGCTTCATCCCTTGTGGGCAGTATTTGTAGACGAACTCTTCCCTGGGTAGATTTGGAAGACCTCCAGCCCTGACACTTTTCTGCTTCAAATTAAAGACATCTGGTTTCTTATCTAATTTGAGAGGACTCAGAACCAACATTTCCTTAAGCTACAGCAGATCATGCTTAATTTGTGTTTAGCCGCTCTAATGTATTGTTCTAACATGCATATTCAAATTCATTTCTTTTATAATGCATTCTTCCTGAAACAGCCAGTCTAATTCCCAGTACCGTATCTCTCTCTTTTGATCTGTATCTGTTTCTTTGCATTTTAATTCTGTCTCCCCAAATGAAACCTTAAATTGCTCCACACTTTGACTTGTTGTCAAGCACTGTAAGTGCCTTTTCCTGTGTCTTGATACAGGTAGACACATTTATGCTTGTTTCTCTTAAGGTCTCGTTAAGCACAACAAACATTATCTACACTTCCAGGATTAGCAGTTTCCCGTAAGTCTGTCCACTGAACCATCACAGTTCATGGTCATAATATTAATAACATCTCATGAGTGACGGAGAGAAGAATAGGAAATAGTGATGCCAAGTAAAGACGAAAGTGAGAGTGTCATGAGCTACACAAATGGGTCACACATGATATATGAATGATGCAGACACATATCGATCATTTCTTGAGGTCCAGATTCCTTTAAGAATCTGATGAGCCCTAGCTGGTTTGGCTCAGTGGATAGAGTGTTGGCCTGTGGAGTGAAGGGTCTCGGGTTCGATTCCAGTCAAGGGCACATGCCTGGGTTGTGGGCTCGAACTACAGTAGGGGGCATGCAGGAGGCAGCCAATCAATGACTCACTCTCATCGTTGATGTTTCTCTCCCTCTCCCTTCTGAAATCAATAAAAATATATTTAAAAAATGAACCTGATGAAACCTTTTTTGACTCTTTCCAGAGAAAAGCTCCAGCTCACATGCTTCCATCCCTGCACTCATCCTTATTTCACATGTGATTCTAGGTGCATTTCCCCCCTGCGGCTCCTTCATGGACTCCCAGGTAAGCACACACTATATGCACACTGTTGAATGCAGAACTCACGTAGCAATTTAAATGTAAACTAACCGAAATGAAATAAAATTAAAAATCCAAGCCCGGCTGCTGTGAGTCAGTGGTTGAGCATCGAGCCATGAACCAGGAGGTCACGGTTTGATTCCTGGTCAGGGCAAATGCCTGGATTTTGGGTTCCATCCCCAGTGGGGGTCATGCAGGAGGCAGCCATTTGATGATTCTCTCTCATCATTGATGTTTCTCACTCTCCCTCCCCCTTCCTCTCTGAAATTAATAAAAACATTAAAAAAAATTCCATTCCTCAGTTGGATCAGCCACATTTCAAGTGCTCAGTAGCCATGTACAGTTAGTAACTGCCGTATCGGACAGTGCAGATATAGAATGTTCCCATCATTGCAGACAAAGTTCTGTCAGATATTGCTGCTCTATAGTTTCAGGATGGTTTAAGAAGATTTACTTCTTAACCAAATCTCTCCTTTCCTCTTCTCCTTTCCCACTCACTCCACAATTGTTAATGATTAGTGCACCTACAGCCCTGCCTTGTTTTAAGCAAAATTGTAGGTATTTCCTAAAAGTTTAATTAGATGACTCATCTTCAGAAAAGAGATTGATTGAAATGAATTCTTTAGACAGGTTGAGCTGCTCTAATGTGAAGTGTGGTTTGACTTCAGTATTTTTCCTCTCTAGCTGTCTCTGTGAGGTAATACTCAGTGATAGACTAGGACAGGGGTGGGCAAACTTTTTGACTCGAGGGCCACAATGGGTTCTTAAACTGGACCGGAGGGCTGGAACAAAAGCATGGATGGAGTGTTTGTGTGAACTAATATAAATTCAAAGTAAACATCATTACGTAAAAGGGTACGGTCTTTTTTTTTTAGTTTTATTCATTTCAAACGGGCCGGATCCGGCCCGTGGGCTGTAGTTTACCCACGGCTGGACTAGGATCATTTAGTTCATCTGGCAAGTTGTGCCTCCAAATTGGTCTATTCCTATGGTATTTTGCCTAATTCTTTCTTTTTTTCCCCTGGCCGACATCTTGCAGTAGAGATAGACTTAATTACTTCGTTGACTTGCTTCTTGCTTATATATTTCAGCAAGGCAACCAGGAAGACCAGAAACAAAAGAGTGGAATGGCTGACACACACCTATATTAAGATACTATAAGGAAATAAATACAGCTCCAGTAAAAATGGAAATAATTTAGAAATTATCCATGCCTTTATTTCCTTGGTTAGTTTCTTTGAGCCTCCTCAATTTCTCAAGCTTTGAAATGAAATACGTGGTATGCCTCTAACTAGGACATTTAGGGTGAATGAAAAGGTATGTGTTTTTTGGAAAAGAATGTTTCTAAATTTAAACCAAGAGTGATAAATTCAACTTAAGTGTTTGGAAATGAGAACTAGTCAAGGGGTCACAGAGTATGCATTTCAAACTCTGAAATTTTGAGAACAGCAGTGTACAAACCCAGCCTACTCTCCCTTTGGCTGCTTGTTAGAGGAATGCTGCTTTTTTGCAACCTTGTACTTTTTGCAGCCAGCAATACTAATTTTAAAGTGGTTTTCTCATTAGATTTGCAAGTAAGAATCAATTTTTTTGTCCTTTCCCATGCATTTTAATAGACCTCAAAAGTAAAATGGGGGAGGAACTGACTGATTAGAGAAACAAAGAACTGTAAGTACAGAAAGTACAAATAGAAAAATAAGAATAGCCCTAGCCAGTTTGGGTCAGTGGATAGCGCGTCAGCCAGCGGACTGCAGGGTTCTGGGTTCAATTCCGGTCAAGGGCGCATACCTCGGTTGCAGGCTCTGGCCCTGGTTGGGGCTTGTGTGGGAGGCAACCAATCGATAATGTCTCTCACAGTGATGTTTCTCTCTCTGTCTCTCTCCTCCCTTACACACACTCTCAAAATCAATGGAAAAATATCCTCTGGTGAGGATTAATAAAACAAAACAAAAGAAAATAAGGATAGAATAATAGCAAGAATAAAGGAGGAAGTAATTTACTTTGGTCTCAGTTTTAACACTTTGGTACCTCACCATATGTAAAGTTTTGTATATGATGTTGCAGAACAAAAAAAGGGCAAATGAATGGTGGCATTCGGTGTTGTGTGTCCCTCCCAGGGAGTTAGACAGACTCAGACACAACAGACTGATTAGAGCAGGGGTCCTCAAACTACGGCCCGCGGGCCACGTGCAAATACAAATATTGTATTTGTTCCCATTTTATTTCTTTACTTCAAAATAAGATATGTGCAGTGTGCATAGGAAGTTGTTCATAGTTTTTTTTTTTTTTTTTTTCTTAAATATATTTTATTGATTTGTTACAGAGAGGAAGGGAGAGAGATAGGAAGTTAGAAACATCGATGAGAGAGAGACATCGATCAGCCGCCTCCCGCACACCTCCCACTGGTGATGTGCCCGCAACCCAGGTACATGCCCTTCACCGGAATCGAACCTGGGACCCTTCAGTCCGCAGGCCGACGCTCTATCCACTGAGCCAAACCGGTTTCGGCTGTTCATAGTTTTTTTTTAAAATTATAGTCCGACCCTCCAACGGTCTGAGGGACAGTGAACTGGCCCCCTGTTTAAAAAGTTTGAGGACCCCTGGGTTAGAGCATAAGTGAGTGAGAGCTGCCATAGGGGTGGAAAGGATTAGAGGGAAGAGAACGATTAGGCAGGGGAGGCATAGAAGGCTTGGATGAAGGCTCTGAACTAGGCCTTTGCATGACTGGGATATTCATAGCTGTCCAGGTATAGGGAGGGGGCTCCGAGGCCAAGATAAGGGCCTGAGCAAAGGCTGGACAGTAAATACCCATGATAGGGTTGGGGGTGCTGGCTTGTAGGGTTATACTTGGGGCAAGCTTGTAAGCGAGGTTGGATAGCTCTTTGAATGCCATGTTCAAAATATTGTATAATAAAAATCATAAAGACATAAGTGGGTTTAGTTTGGAGACAGTTAGATCCATGACCAATAAAAATGTCCACCTTTAATTAAACATTCCTGTTAAGAGATTTATATTCTCCATGCCTGGGTCTGAATCCCTCTTGGTCTGTTGTGGTATATGGTTTTGGAAACCAGCAAGGGGTTGGAGAAGGCCAGAGAAAAGGCTACTACTGATGAACTATCCATAAGCAATTGATAGTGCAAGATAAAAGTCCACAGTTGAAGAGTTGGAAAAATAGTATTATAAAAAGGAAAGGGTTGACATATAGTGTTGTCTTATCTTTAGTTTTGAGGTATTTGCTTCCCATTGAGATTAGTGTGTGCTGTATAGGTGTGGTGGTGCCAGCACATGGTATTGTAATCCTAAAATAGTATTGATTGTGCTTTGAACTGGTTTATTTAAAAGGACACTGCTGCCCTGACCGGTTTGGTTCAGTGGATAGAGCGTTGGCCTGCGGACTCAAGGGTCCCGGGTTCGATTCCGGTCAGGGGCATGTAAGTTGGTTGCGGGCACATCCCCAGTGGGGGGCGTGCAGGAGGCAGCTGATGGATGTTTCTCTCTCATCTGTGTTTCTAACTCTCCCTCTCCCTTCCTCTCTGTGAAAAATCAATAAAATATATTTTAAAAAAAGACACTGCTGCAGGGACAAGGAGATTATTTGTGGCTCCGTAAATCTCATTTTAGGGTCTTGTTGCTAATAAGACCTTAGGCTGTGTGTGTATATCTCTATCTATCTATATTCTTTATATAATTCACCATAAAATTCATCCTTCTAATATGTACAGTACAATGGTTTTTAGTATAATCACAAAGTTGAGCAACTATCACCACTCTCTAATTCCAGAATATCTTCACGCTCCCACAAAAGATACCTGTAGTCATTAGCAGTCACTCTTCATTTACCTTTCCCCTCATTCCCTAAAACCACAGATCTATTTTCTATCTATAGATTTGCCTGTTCTGAACATTTCATATCAGTGGTATCATATAATATGTAGCCTTTTGTGTCTGGCTTCTTTCACTTAGCATAATGTATTTGGGGTTTATCCATTCATCAGTTGATGAACATTTGGGTTGTTTCTGCTTTATGGCTATTATGAATAATGCTGCTATAAATGTACACGTACAAGTATTTATGTGGATGCATGTCTTAATTTCTCTTAGGTATATGCTTAAGAGAGGAATTGCTGGGTCATATGGTAACTGTGTTTAACTTTTTTTGTTAGTTTTTGTTAATCCTCACCCGAGGATATTTTTCCATTAATTTTTAGGGAGAGTGGAAGAGAGAGGGAAAGACAGAGAAACATCTATGTGAGAGAAACACATTGACTGGTTGCCTCCTGCATGAGCCTTGACCAGGGCCCAGGCCAGGGAGGAGCCTGCAACTAAGGTACGTGTCCTTGACTGGAATCGAACCTGGGACCCTCTGGTCTGCAGGCTGGCGCTCTATCCACTGAGCAAGGCTGTTATTCATTATCATTGCACCAGTTTACATTCCCATCAGCAGTGTATGAGGATTACAGTTTCTCCACAACCTCTTCAACACTTGTTATGGTCTGTCTTTTTTATTCTAGCTGTCCTAGTGGGTGTGAAGTTTTCATTTGCATTTCTCTACTGGCTATTGATGTTGACCATTTTCCCTTATTTTTAAGTTGGGCTATTTTTTTTTTATTGATGACTTGTAAGAGTTCTTTATATATTCTGGGTACAAGTCTCTTATCAGATATTTGTTTTCCAAATATTTCCTCCCATTCTGTTTGTTGTCTTTTCACTTTCTTGACAGTGTACTTTTAAGCACAAAAGTTTTAATTTTGATGAAGTTTATTTTATTTTTTGTTTCGTTGCTTGTAATTTTGGTGTCATATTGAGTTATTTTCAATCTTAGAATTATAGAAAAATTTAGGAAGCAAATGTCCTTGAGGCATGGTGGATAGCAGTATTTAAGGAAAATTTAAAAGATGATTTCCATTTTACTTAATTGCAGCATTCAGTCAAGCTAGACTGTAAGTGAAAATGAAGCTTTTGATTCATTTTTATATACTTTTGATATTTAAAAAAAGTATGACTTTGCAGCCAAATCACAACTTTCGGGATTGAACTCAGTATTGAATATTCTAGGTTTTCTTGCAGACTTTAATATAAATCTGTAAGCTTTTTTTCATAGTGTGATCACCATGTGCCTAGTATTTGGGTTTATCACTCAGCAGTATATTTCTACAGTTCTGTGTCTCCAGTTAGGCATTTAGGTCATTTCCAGAAATCCTTCCTTGGCATCTAAGGCCCTGCCTGCTCCAGGCCTCTCCCCCCAGTCCCATCCGCATAGAACTCTCCTCTCTCCAGACTCCTGCTCAGGCCTACCTTGGACTCGCCCGGTACATGCCAGCCTACATTGGCAGGGCCTTCGCCTGGGCTGGTCCCTCTCCCTGGTTCCTGGCTCCCTCCTC